CGTACTCCCCTCTCCGGAACAGTACGAGATGGGCACATGACCTGAGCCATTCCCTGGTCCTTTACTCTTGTGCTGGGAAGCACTGGTGGGGGCAGGGGTGAGCTTCTGCCAGTCCAGGTCCAGGCCAGGCGCAGGGGCCTGTGGGAATGATCCTGATGCTCAGAGCCCTTGGACGCCCATGGCTCTGTCCTGGCCTTGATTCTCCAGGTTGGGGGCTAAGAGAACCTGACAGGGGCAGGGGAGGTGGTTTGTTTGGGTCTCAGTTCCTTTCATGAAATGACTATTATCTCTCTAGGCTAGATACTGTAGCAGAAATCTGGAAAACATGAGATTTTTAAACTTAGGACATTGTTGATGGTTTCTTCAGAAATTTCCGCCTGCTTCTCATAAACTGGCAAAAACTTAGAAACGTTAACATTTCTTAAAGAGAGGAATTGTCATCATTATCTGAATAAATTATTGTTTCAAATTCAATGTAATAAATTCTGCTGCCTCTGCTCCTTCACATCTTCATGCTGCCCTTCCCTCTGAGACATAACATTGTTGGAAATTAGGAAGATGGGAGGGAAGAAAAGTAGTTTTCATTATCCCCACGTTGCCTTAAAATGGGATTGGTGGGGGAAATGTTCGAATATACAAATTTTAAGTCATCTTCATAGTTCTTGAGTTTTTTGTTTGTCTTTTTTTTTTTATTTTTTAAGGTTTTTGCCATAGGGCACATGCACTTGCTGGAGAGAAACAGAAACAGTGAGAGGGGAGGTGAGAAATCACCCCTTAGGTAGATGGCCACTCCGCCATACCTTCTCCTCTTGGATTTTGGGCACACATGCACACACACCTGGTGTGATTTTCAGGCCACCAAGTCTGGGACTTTAACTGCAGTCGGCCATGTGGGAGTCCAGCACAGTAACCACTATGCTACATGCTGGCCCCAAGTTTCTATATTAAAGACATAAATCTTGGGGACCAGCAGGTGGTGTGGTGATTAAGGCGCTGGACACTCCCACATGACAGACCACAGTTCGAGTCCTGGACCTGGTGACTTGCTTTCTCACTTTCTCTCTATGTCTCTCTGTCTCTCTTTCTGTTCAAATTTAAATATAAATAAAGGGATACATAAAATTAAATTTATTATTTTTCTTGGAGAGATTTTCACTGTAGGGCGCGTGCGCTCGCCAGACAGACAGAGAGAGACATAGAGACAGAAAGCGAGAAATCACCCCCCAGGGGGGATGGTCACGCCACAATCCCTTCTCCTCCATTCTCCTCTCGGGATCTTGGGCACGCACGCACACGCGCCCGGCGTGAGTTTTAAGCCACCGGGTCCGGGACACGAACCGCGGTCGACTACGTGGGAGTCCAGCAACATAGCCATTACGTTAACTGCTGGTTGGTTCCCCATAAAATTAAATTTAGAGAAAAAAGACATAAATCTTTATTTTTAATTTTCCTTTTTTATATAATTATTTTATTTTAACTTCATTTATTATTGTTACTATTTTTCCAATTTGGCCAGAGAAAGAGAGAGAGAGGGAAAGTGAGAAAGGAAGCCACTAGATCTGAGACTTGAACCATGGTTGGCCATGTGGGAGTCCAGTGCCCTTAACCACCACACCACCTACCGACTCCATACTTTTTTTATTTTCTAAATACAAAAACAGCACACGTTCACTGAAAATTTAAAAGCAATGGCAAAATACAGCCAAACATGAAAGACCTATTTCACTACTTCCACTCCAAGGAGTAATCACCATTAACAGTTTGTCATTAAACATGTAGAAAGAGGGGCTTCAAAATGTTCACGAAATTGGACCAGCAGATAGTGTAATAGTTACATTGCTGGACTCCCATGTAATAGAGCACGGTTCAAGTCCTGGACCTGGCAACTTAAAACTCACGCCAGGCATGTGTGTGTGCGTCCCTGGGGGATGATTTCTCAAAAAAAAAAAAAAAAAAAAAAAAAAAAGATTCATGGAAGGGGCCAGCAGGTGGCATGGTGGTTAAGGGTGCTGGACTCCCATGTGGGCTGCCACACTTGGAGTCCAGATCTGGCAGGTTGCTTTCTCACTTTCCCTCTCTCTCACTCTATCCCTCTTTGGTCAATTTTAAATAAATAAATAAACCAGCCAATTAATAAAGTTATATAAAAAATAATTATTTTTAAAAATATATTAAAAAAAAACCATTGGGACCAGCAGGTGGTGTGGTGGTTAAGGCACTGGACACTCCCACATGGCCAACCATGGTTTGAGTCCTGGACTTGGTGGCTTGCTTTCTCACTTTTCTCTCTCTCCCTCTCTCTGTCTCTCTCTGGTCAAATTAAAACAAATGAATGAATAAATAAAATTGAATAAAGTAATTCTTTTAAAAAATAATAGAAACTGTGTATCATGAAAAAACTTGGATTTCAAGCTTTTTGCACCAAAGTAAACATCCTACAACTCCACTTTTCTGCAAACTTTCTGAAGTATGCTCATGTCAATGGCTTTTTAAATTGTTTTTATTTTATTTTATTTTATTTACTATTCTTCTTCATTTTGACCAGAGAGATCCAAAAAGAGAGAAAGCAAGCTGCCAGGTCCAATACTCGAACCACAGTTGACCATGTGGGAGTCCAGTGCTTCAACCACTATGCCGCCTGCTGGCCCCCCAAATTTTTATGTTTAATGCCATGATAGCCAACACAGTGCAGTTCAACCCAATGTCTATGTGTGTGGTTTGAGACCTTTGCCCAGGAGGTGACTAGGGTCATGGTTTTGGAAGATAAACCTGCCCCCAGTTGGTGGGTGGACAAGAGTGAGCGACAAACGAAAGCCATGCCAGAAAATGAATGTTTATTGCGCTCTCAGAAAGAGCAGCCCCTGCGCCAGGAGCTTTATTCACTACAACCCTATGAGGCTGGTGAATCATTTCCATTTTATGGATTAGGAAGCTGAGGTTCAGGTGGTTAATAACAGGCAAAGGCCAGTGGACTGGTGAAAGTGGACTGGGTCACAAACTCCAGCGGCTTCTAACCAAACACCACGTCTTCACCTCAGGCCACCTTGATGTAAGGCGCTGGGTGGGAGGTCAAGGAGGACCCCAGGTTTCCATCTGTCTGTCCATAGTGGTGGGCTGGAGTGGGAGCTGGCCATTCAGGGGTGGGTTCTGGGGCAAGGTTACCAGGCTGCTGGCCAAGGAGAGGCGGTGCTGCCACAGGAGTGGTAGGTGAGTGAAGGGAGAGGTGGGCAGGCCAGGGCTGGGGCCTGGCACCCACGGTGGACACTAGGAGACAAGGAAGGAGTGAAGGAGAAGCCAAGGCTGGGAGGGAGAGGCCTGGGGAGAGCCCTCCACCAGCCCCTCCTAGCGGAGCTGGCCCTGGGCACACCCAGGAACTGCCCCCACCTTGCCAGCAGACCTTCCTGCTTCTGGCCGGGGTGGTGAAAGGAAGCTGCAGGCTGAGAGAGGCCTTCTGATCCCGTCACCCAGGAAGCCAGCCCCCACCCTGCCCCGCGCCCCATGTACCACACTCGTCCTTCTTCACAGCAAAAGCGGCTGAGACCGAAGGAGCCGGTGCCCCCAGAACTGAGACCCGGGGCGGGCGGGGCTCCCGAGCCCGGGCTGTCCGGACTGGGGGTGGGGAGGCTCACCCTGAGCCCAGAAGGCGGCCCTTCTTCCCCCTCCCCCGCAAAGGCAGGCAGAGGAAAACGTGCCTTTATAAATAGCTCCAGCCCCAGCTGATTTGTAAATTCAGTGGGTTTTTTGTGTCAATGACATCACCCTCCTTCCCATGGCAACCCCCGACGATATCAAAATTGCCAAGCAACGTTGGAGCAGCTCGGCGCCCCGAACGAGCAGGTCGCTGCCTGAGGATTTAATGGAGAAATCCCAAAGTGAGCCGGGGTGCTCGGTGGAGGAGGGGCGCGCCGC